TCTCTGACAGGACATTTGATGTGCTTCCCAACTTGTACTTTTCCCATCTAAAGAAGGCTGGATGTCTTGGCTGGGATAGTGTCCTCCCTGAATTTCAGAAGTGCTAAAATAACAAGCAAAGTCTGGCAAGGTGATTTTCCACATTTGCCATATTTAAAGGAAGAAGCTTGTTCTACTATAAACAGTTATGGGAACTGTTTTCTTTGAATGGGCTTGGTCCTCATGAACTGAGGACTGCCTTCTTACTCTGGTTTCTTGCCAAGGTGGAAATGTGTTGCCTAAGGCATCTATTCTTGTGGAGGCATTTGCTAATCAGAGTAAGTTTGGCTTGACGCATGTGTGTTGGAAAAACAGTAGGCATAATATTAATGGCTTCAAAAATAGTAGTTTGCACCAATCACTAGCATGGCTCAGAGTTCATAATTGTATCTCTGATAGATTATCTTGTATCTGTTTCCATTCCACTCAGGATTCCAGAAGGCTGTATCCTGAGACCCTGAGACTCTACTGTTTTCCTGTATAAATGCTTTGAAATCCTTACAAAACATTCAGGGTGGTTTAATATACTCATGAGGATACGTACCATACATAGGCTCCCATGGCTGTCTGAAAGTGACTTGTACACACCTGCAGGAAGCCAGTGTTACACTCTAGTTATTCTGATATTTGCTATACTCAGAGCTGATGATTTATATGGGATTGCAGTTCCAAGCACGGGCTCTAGAGACAACCTGTATTGCGTTGGAACCCTATCTTTATCAATTATTGGGCAAATTATTTTGGACAAATTGCCTGTTTGCTATGCTTCTTTCTTTGCTTCTGTAAAATGAAGGTTGTTGTGTGGTTTCTCAGTAAGTTAGTATATGTGAGTGTTAGAATTACATACAGCACCAAGTAAGTGCTCAGTAAATGTTAGCTCTTTCTCCCTTTCTCTAAATTATAAATGGTGCCACCTGAATCCTGTGTGGTCTCCTTGGATGTTTGGTTGGAGAGGGATTTATAAGGGAGGAAGAAATTTGAGACTGTGTCCTCTGTTTACCTTCACTCCTAGATGTATCTGTATTTGTGCAAAATAGCAAAAAAGGGGCTATTAAGTTTTCAAACATTTATTAAGACTTTTCTCAAAAATGACCTTTCCAGCTTTATGCTGCTAGACAGATTTGCTCTGTATTTACTATCTCTCTGTCCTTTTGGTGGTTTGAATAAAAGCTGTGCTCATTACAGCTAACTATTATCCAAAGGTCATTACATGCAATCATATAAGATACCTAATAGTGACCTATGGGAACAGTTGTTTTCACAAGCAAATCGTGGTTGACCAAATCTGTATATTCTCTCATGTGTGTGGGGCAGAACATAACATACCGGAGGGCAAGTGAGAGGTGGAGCATTTTCAAGTAACAAGTCATTGTACAATCACTTCCTGTGTCTCAGACTCCTTTGACCTCAGTTACTTTTTAAAGCCACTGATCCACACAGATCTGGTTATGAGCCACATCGTAGCACCTCCCCTCTGCAGTTCTATGAGTTGCTTTCTGTCATTGGATCCTTGTTGCCTTCTGTCACACAATTATACAGATCAAACTAACTGAACCCAGTATCCCCTTCAGGCTGCCTCTGTCAAAGACCACATGATCCTTGCTGCTTGGTCATTTAATATGCTAGACACTCGTCTATTCATTCATTCATCTGCTGAGCACTTACGATTAAACCTCCCTATGTACTGGGCATTGCACCAAAGATGACTGAAGTCCTTGATAGCAGAAACTATATTTACTGTCTAGAGAGGAAGAGAAACACAGATAAATCATGACAAAGATAGCAAAATGGTGCAGAGTGGTGGTTAGAAACGTGGACTTTGAGCCCTAGTGCTTGGGTTCAAATTCTTGCTTTGCTTCTCACCAGTTGTGTGATCTTGAACAAGATATGTAATTTCTCTGTGCCTAGTTGACTTATTTGTGAAGCAGTGATTGTCATTGTTCTTTGTAGGAATTAATATGTATGACTATATAGTGAATGCCTGAGATACAGTAAGTGCTATGTATGTATTTGCCAAATAAGTACAATAATAGAAATATACACAGGCTATTACAGGAATACTTAGTCCATTTAGCAAGATCAAAATTTTATTTCCATTTGGCTCTTTTCAAGTTTGGGGACTTTTTCAGCCCACGAAAACAGAAAAAGGGAGATAAATCAGGCTTGAGTTTAGTCATTTAGTTTCTATGCAGCATTAGCATAGGTCTGCCTGCCCTTATTCTAGAACCTTACTTCTATTAATGAGATCTTTTCTTTTTCTTTGGACCACAGTTCCACCTTTGTCCTTATAGTACTAACTGGGTCTTTGGCCTATTTTTTTGCGTCTTTGGTCTCTGCCTTAATTCTGATCAAGCTCTCAGTTCTGAGGTACAGGATCTGCCCTAATCTTGCCAATCTTCCCTTGACCTCTGTTTTCCATCAGAGTTCTGGCCACTTGTCACCAGACCTTCTTGCTATATGGATTTATTAATATTATTTGCTCTAGGATTCCTCAGTGCTATGTTTCCTTCTTGCCTGCTCAACCACCTGCCTGCCTATTATTTTTACTCTCCTGACACTGTGCTCTGACCACTCCCTGGCTTTTTCTAATTGCCCATTTCCCAGGCATCTGCACAGCCCTCAGAGACATTATTATTATCTCATTTATGGCTTGTCCTGCCATCACTTAATATTCCCTACTGACAGAAAGGAGGCACAAAAGAAAGGCTGAGTCAGACATTCTCTGTGTTGCTCATGAAATGACCCAGTTTAATTGCTGGTCCAAAGGAAATTGGGATGTGTTTATTAGAAAGTGGCCATAATAACTGAGTGCAGACACACATAAGTGCACTTAAAGGGGGTTGTTTTGTATAAAGTTTGCTACATGGGGATTTTTTTCTTCTTGATGCTCAAGTTAAGAAAATCTTTTTACTAATTTATCTTTCTGAATAGCTAGTCTTCCAACAGGATGGGAATAAAGAAAGAGGGACAGAATATTAGAGGATTATGAGGGAGATGGATATGATCAAAATATGTTATAGGCATATACAAAAATACCATATTGAAATTCAGTATTTTGTACAATTAGTAGACACTAATAAAATATCTTTAAAAAAATCTTCAGCACCAGGCATGTATGCTTCTTAATGCCACTAAATTACTCTAATGAAGTTATAATATTGTGGTTCTGGTTTTTTACTTTGGTTCTTTCTACATTTTTTTTATTCTTAGTGTTTGCATATAGGTTAAATGTTTCAGAAAGCACTATGCTTTCCTCATTCCCATTGTTGAGTCTTTGTGGAATTTTCCAAACCTTGAATATAGTTTAAATATCAGCCCCTCAAATTTTCCCTTTCCTTGGATCTACTGTTTTTGAACATGGTCACTTTCTTTTTGAGTAAGAAAATCCAATTATCTCTATTGCGATAATAACCTCAAAGTTCCATTATGGGTGAGGGTGTTATAAAAGAAAGTCCATAGTGGAAGGGAAACAAAGGGCATAGTAAAATCCTTGCTTTTAGTGACATAACCTCATTTTCATTAGGCCCCATGTAGCTGCCTAATTTCCATTAGGCACATGCTGACTTCTCTTAGCTCCATGCACAGAAGACAATCTTATTTTCCCTTCAGTTCTATTTGGTACTTAGGTTTAATTGAAAATTTAATTATAAGTGCTAGAAGTCATCCACCGAGTATTTCTCATTTGTGAATTATTTTGCTATCCACTTTTATGGTGTGCATTTTTTCTTGACTGAAATAATTTTTGCTTTAAATAGCATCTGACATTTACAAAGGTTTTAATGCACATTCACACGTATCATCTCAGTGTTCCCAACAGCCCTGCAAAGCAGGCAGAACTGTTATTATTCTTATGCTACAGATGAGGATGTGATGGCTCAGAGGAAGATTGCAAAAGGGCCACAAAAAAGTGCACTAGAAAGGGCACACGAAGATCCATCCCTGTTCACAGCTCTTGCATAGTTAACTGCTTACTGTGTGCATCTGTGCCAGCTATTTTATTACTCCAGGCCCTTTCCTTCATCTAAGAAGTGAGCAGCTTGAATTTAGGCTTTCTTCCATCCCTAACCTGAGTGATGTTTGTTTAAGCAGTATATCCATATTACCTTCCCTATCCAACCTGTGGCTGTTGAAGAATGTGAACACACACACACACACACTCTCTCTCTCTCTCTCTCTCCTTCTCTCTCTCTCTCTCTCTCTCTCTCTCTCTCTCTCTCTCTCTCTCTCTCTCTTTCTCTCTCTCCCTCCTATGGGCCAAAAGTTAAAGCCAAACAATCCTGGACTGGGAGAACCAGGGAGCTGGGTATGCAATAAGAGGTGATTTCTTCTTGAAATTACAGATACTCACTCTAGGTGGAAAGAGATGGCAAATTTCATTCATTTAAAATTTGAAGGAAGTGAAGAGTAGGGGGCAGCAGAGAGTCTTTTAATATTGTTTTGTTTTATAGAAAAACCACATCTTCTTTACCCAGTTTCTAACTAATGGGCAAATGGGCTGTTTCCAAGTTTTAGCTATCACAAACTGTGCTGCTATAAACATAGGTGTGCATATATCACTGTGGTATGATTCTTTTAATTCTTTTGGAAAGATACCCAGCAGAGGGATACCTCTAATCCTAGTTCTTTGAGGTATCTCCATATTGATTTCCATAGTGGTTGCACCAGTCTGCACTCCCACCAACAATGGAGAAGGGTTCCTTTCTCCCCACAGCCCTGCTGGCATTTGTTATTGTTTGATTATTACTCAGCCATAAAGAATGAGAAATTAGGTTTTGGTACGGGGATTGAAAGGACCTTGCGAAAGGACCTTGTGTTTGGGAGAGCCTAGGAAAGTGGGGGTGATCCTGTGGCATTCATGCCCTCTCTGTGCAAGGGAACCAAGTTGCCCCAGCAGTTAAGCATCGGAAAACAATCATTTTTTTCTAAATTAAAACTTTATAGTGCAGGCTGGCCTTGACTTATGGTGGTCCTCCTACCTCAGCCTCCCTAGTGCTGGGATTACAGAACTCAACAAAAATCCAGTGGAAGGCTTTTCAGCAGGTTTAATAGATGACAATGATCTCTACCGGTGGGAAGTTCTTATTACTGGGCCTCCTGATACACTTTATGAAGGTGGTGTTTTTAAGGCTCATCTCACTTTCCCAAAAGATTATCCCCTCCGGCCTCCTAAAATGAAATTCATTACAGAAATATGGCACCCCAATGTTGATAAAAATGGTGATGTTTGCATCTCTATTCTTCATGAACCTGGTGAGGATAAATATGGTTATGAAAAACCAGAGGAACGCTGGCTCCCTATCCACTCTGTGGAAACTATCATGATTAGTGTCATTTTGATGCTGGCAGACCCTAATGGCGACTCACCTGCTAATGTGGATGCTGCGAAAGAATGGAGGGAAGACAGAAATGGAGAATTTAAAAGAAAAGTTGCCCGCTGTGTAAGAAAAAGCCAAGAAACTGCATTTGAGTGACATTTATTCAACAGCTAGAAATTTCACTTATTTCAGGGTCTCCAATTGAGAAACATGGCACTGTTTTCATGCACTCTACCCACCTACTGCTGGACTTCTGTTGGAACAAGTTGGCAAACACTGGCTGGAACTGGGCTGCAATAAAACATGCCAGTCACTGATGCCAACAAAAGCCTAACAAGTGCTAACTTTCAGATGATTACGCATTTTGAATTCTAATGAACTGTTTTAACCTTCAGGAAGAATTGTAAAGACCTGTACATAGCACAACATGATCCGGGTAATATATATATATACTGTTCATGTACATCCACATACACACCTGTACCAAATAATGCTTTCCTATAGTAGAATAAGAATCGTGTAAATTCTAAAAGATTTTAGCAGGTTTTCTTTCCTTACTCACTTGCTTCTTATCAGTTTTATAAGACTCCTTAAAGCATGTCAGATGAAAAGCAATTAGGATTAAAAGTTTCCATTTAATTTCCTTTAAACCATTAAGGCTTCATTAAACTCCTTTCACTTACTAAACTTTTCTATGTTCTTTGTTTTGACACACTCCCTTTTGCTTTTGTTTCTTCTGCCAAAAAGTTCTCAAATCATTTAGTTCGAATACTGAAATAGTTAATAAGCGGTGACTTGATTTTTAATGATGACACGAGAGGAGTGGTCGTCACTAGGTGCTTTGTCCTCTTTGTATTCTAGTTGCAACCTTGGATTGGATGTAGCAATAATATTTTCTAGCTGTTAAGAGCTCTTGAACCCAGTCATTATCCCCAAGAACTAAAATAATACTGTTGATTCTAAATTCAATTTACTGAAATATACCACAAATAATACAAAATTGTTTGGTTTTTTTTTTTGCCCTCAATAACCCAATATTAAGGGTGGATAAATAAAGCACGCATAGCTACTGGCTTTTTACTTCTGGGTTTGCTATTAAAAATGCTATTTGCCCTCATACCCTTCTTAGTCCTTCATATTTCTTTGTCTCTATTCTTCTATACTGCAGATTTTTCCTCAACTATGGTACAAAGAAATTTATGATGTATATTTTCATGTAATTTGATTTTGGAATTCTGTCACCTTATGTAGTGAGTTCTTCCAAAATACAATCCCTCCCCCAAAGAATGAGAAATTAAATTAATTCATAGGAAAATGGATGCATATTGAGGTTCTACTCCTAAGCGAAATAAATATGTTACACATGTGTGAATACTGAATAGTTTCTCTGGTTTGAATAAACTATAATAGTACATAAGATCCTAATGATATAATGGACAATGTGAAATAGGAAGAAATGGGGTTAAAGGTGTAGGGAAAGTGGGAAGGGTAGAGGAAAGCTAATAAGGGAAAAGAAAAAAATATGAGAAAATGAAAAAATGGAAACAAAGTGTTTGTAAGGGGGAGGGGAGGAAGGGTGAAGGGAGGGCAGGGACAAGGGGAAAAAATGAGAACCAAGACCTGTCATGTAAAGGTACAAGATCCCAATAAGGAATGTAGCTGTAGTATATACCTAAAATGTACCAATAAACTCAATGAGAAAATAAATATTGTTTTGTTTTGGGTTTTTGAGAGAGGGTCTTACTACATAGCCCAGGGTGGCCCGGAACTTGTGGTAAACCTGATGCCTCAACCTCCTGAGTGCTGGGATTATAGGCGTACATCACCACACCCGGCTGAAGACTGTTTTCTTTTAGGATAGTAAAAAACTGGTCATCAATGACAAAGTTTCCTTGTTTGCTGGCTAATAGCAATGTGATAACCGCTAGAATTTTGAAAAACTCCTTAAAGTATAACCACTTCTATAAATGCAAAACTGTGAAATGCCTTTTGAAAAAAAAATGGATTTATTCATCCTGTAGGAGTCATGATGTAACATTTTGGGAAGGGGGAACCTTTTTCTTTCTCTTAATATCTTAGTGACAATGTGACAGCAGAGGGTGTGACCACATAAGAGGGTGTGACTACATGGGTATAGGTTTTGAAACACATACTTTGGAAGGATTTGAATTTTAGTGCTCACACAGTGGTGTGTGTGTGTGTGTGTGTGTGTGTGTGTGTGTGTGTGTGTATGACTGTGTGTGTATGAGTGTGTGTGTATACATCCCCAAAAGAAACCCTGTGTTCATTAACAGTTCCAGGTAATCACCAATCTACTTTTAGTCTTTGTGCATTAGCCTATCGTGGATATTTCACTTGAATGGAATCCTAAAATATGTAGCCTTTTGGGGTCTTGTCTCTTTCAGTTAGAATAATGTTTACAAGGTCCATCCATACTGTAACATGTGTCAGTGCTCCTCTTCTTTATATGGCTGAATAAATTTTTGCTGTATGATTATACCATTCATCAGTTGTTGGAAATCTGGGTGGTTCCTGCTCATGGATTTCTTATAGCTTGGCTAAATGTCCCCCAAAGATCCATGTTTTAAAGCCTTGGTTTTTAAGGGGCTCTATTAGGAGGTGGTGGAACCCTTAGGGTCCTAGGGGCAGAGATCCTTAGGTCCTGGTGGGCCTAAGACCCTTGAAAGGGATTGTGGCCTCTGGTCTCTTCTTTCTAATGCTTCCTGGATCATGATGTACAAAGTTTTTTTTTTTTTTTTTTTTTTTCCCCACCATGGACTCCCTGCCATTGTCATCTGACACTGCCACCAGAGTCCCAAAACAGTGATGCCATCTAATTGTGAACTGGAACCTCCAAAACCATGAATTAACTAAACCCTTTCCTTTATAAAGTAATTTAGTGAGATATTTTGTGTAGTAAAGGGAAGCTGACTGACACAGGATTACTATGAAGGATGCTGCCATGAATATCCATGTATGGGTTTTTTGTGTGGTTTTGAGTGAATTTTCCTTTTATTCTCTGGAGTTTGTGGGTGCGGAGGTTGGGCATCAGCTCCTGGTCTAGACATGAGGCCATCCAGAGCTGCCCCTCAGTGCAAGGAAGAGATTGCAGTCCAGTGGATACAATTCAATGGCAGGTGGAGTACAGAGGTCTAGGGTGGATGCTGTGGCAGGTATAATCGTCCTGGAAAGATATTGCATAAGACTACTATCTGGGAGGGGGATTATTGTCTGAAAAAGAGCTAAGAGAAAAACCATTAATGGTCAACAGGAGAGTATATCAGGCATTGGAGGGGAAGATAAAGTGTTGGAGTGTCCCTGGGGGTTGAGTACTTTTCTAAGGATCATACCTAAGTTCCCTGCAAAAGATAGTCTGCTGACATTATAACATCTTCCCCATCAAAGATATCCACAGCCAAGTAAAATAGCATCAACTAAATAATGAAAATCTTTTTGTTTCTTTACTTCTCTTTTCTCCTCTGCTCCTCAACTGAGGATGCACAACAGAATGACTGGGGTGTGGGTGGAAAAGGGCAGTGTCCCACTTCCCCATTGCGAGTTCCTGGAACCAAGGTGGCTTCTTCTAGCATGGAGGGGAAGAGGATTCAAAGAAAAAAGTGAAGTTTTGATAGGAGAGAAAATATAACCTGAATAATAACTTCAAATAAGACTGTTATAAAGTGAAAAGCACTGGAAAAATTACATAGTTTGATCAAGATATTGCTTGAGGTCAGGTAAAGGATATAGCAGGCTTGAAGTATAAGAATTGGAGAAAAATACAACTATTTCCTGTTTTCATTCTTCACAAGGTAGCCCAATGAATAAACAAATTTTTGTTGAGTGAAGTTATCTGTGAATTTGGAATGCTGAAGCATTCTTTGGAGCCCAGAGCTGTGCTAAAGAACTTTGATGTAGTGGAAGGAGTGTCCACTAGTGGCCTGCCAACCAAAGGGTCACTGGTGGCCCACATCCAGAGCAAGCCAAGCTCTTTGAATAACCTTTCTTAGGTCACACTGATGGGCCCAGAGATGGGTACACACTCAGGTGAGGCCAAGCAGAATCCTTGTCCAGAAAGCAGTAGGAATGTTGAGGTTCTTTCTTCTCATGAGATTATGAGCAGTAAACATTCTGCACACCTATTGCTTCCAGGATTATTTTTGCTTGCAAGTGGAGAGAATTGGAGAATGAAGCCAGTCTTCTCACTTTGGAGACAGGATCTTACTAAGTCATTAATTTGCCCAGGCTGTCTTCATACTTTCCACCCTCTTGCCTTGGTTTCCCAAAGCTTTGGGATTTCAGGTGTGTGCCACCATGCCTGGTCTTTATTTTGTTTTAAATCTAAGCCTGTGTTTTGAAGTTCTCACCTAATTTCTGTATGTAACTCTTTGGCCTAACTTCCTGAGTTGGACTCAGTCTCCCAGCTATATAAACTGCTTGGAGGCAGGATCTCATTATGTGGTCCAAGCTGCCCTTGAACACACTAATAGCCCAGGCTGGCCTGGAATTCTTGATCTTCCTGCCTCAGCCTCTTGAATTACAAGTGATGCTGCTGTTGGAATTTTGATGCATGTCCGGGAATATACCCAGGGGTGGAATTGTTAAAACTAACTTCCGCTTGTTGTAGTTATTGCATAATTCAATAATC